GCTAGTACCAGTTCTATCGCACTTATTAATCATCCTTATTGGCGTCACACCATCGTGGAATAAAAGAATAATAATAATAGTTCTCTTCTCAAAGAAATTAAGAAGGGTGCTTTGGCTGGAACTGATGGTGTGTAGCGAAGACCGCATCCTCCAGTATAGGGAGAAGAAGCTGTCACGGTTTCGCCAACTCAAACAGGAGTGTATGAAGAATGGCTGGGAAGTCGAGGCCCTCACAGCGGAGGTGGGGGCTAGAGGAGCCATTTCCAGGAGCCTGGACGGTTTGGCACGAGCATTGGCATGTTGTAAGGAAAAATAGCACCAATTAAGAAGAAACTGCAGAAACGCAGCACTAAATTCCAGCTACGTTATCTGGTTGAGGCGACGTGAGAAGGCTTGGTGTGACTGGCCACTGTTTTAAAAGTCCCCGAGAGGCAGTTTGTTGGCGCTTGGTTATCGGACAGCCACAAAGCGAGGATAGTTGGGTACCCCTCAAATCTTAGTTTTAACTTGCCACACCGGCTTCTAAAGTGCCCTTTATTTCTTTTCTTTTTCTCCTTTTACTTTCTCCGTCACTTCCTATAAAACAGCCGAGACGTTTTTTTACCCACCATTTTTTTGGTGCGAATTACTTTCCTCTGTTTTTGGTGCACAACAACATCTCTGGTGTCGCCTGCCGTGTCTTCGTTCTTGTGCTCCCCTCTATGTTCTACTGTTGTGCAAACCCCCTCTCTTGTCTGTCTCATTTTGCCCTGAGATATTTGATACAGTCATAGTGATAATATCATTATGACGTTCATCATTTACTCCCTCGTCACTGGACAGTTCTGTCTGTTTGGTTTTACTGTATTCAAATAAAGAAAACATAAACATTAACATTGAATAGTATTATTTCTCTGAAGTTGTAGTCACTTACCTCCAGTGAATTGTACAGTTCTCCCTTTGCGTCTTCCTTTAGTCCCTTCGCCCTCTTATGTCATCATAGCTGCTGCCTGAAACGTGCATTCCAAACTTGATCCCGTTGACATATTCAAAAGCAGCCACAAAGTTGTGTTTGATATGTCCGGTCGTTTGAAAAATGGCGTTTTTGGAAAATATTGAAACTCTTTAAAGGCTATAATTATAAATCATTAGATCGATCGAGCAAACGAGTAATCGGTATACAAAATGTTGCGATCGTTTCAGCCCTATGAGTCAATACCCATCAGTCCCCCGTGTGCGTGTGTACTTGTGTGTGTGTGTGTGTGTGTGTGTGTGTGTGTGTGTGTATGTGTGTGTGTGTATGTGTGTGTGTATGAGTGTGTGTGGGTGTGTATGTGTGTGTATGTGTATGTGTATGTGTATGTATGTGTGTGTAAGTGTATGTGTGTGAGTGGGTGTATATATATGTGTGTGTGTGTGTGTGTGTGTGTGTGTGTGTGTGTGTATGTGTACTTGGTCTGGCTCATCGCAAATGTCGCTTATCTATCGCCACTAACCTTAATCAGGCCAATGTTCCCAAAAGGGAACATATCTTTCCGCATGCGATTTGGCCAAGGGAAATTCATTTTTCCTCCGCATTTTCTGTTTATATACATATCTAGAAGGTTGATGATCATGAATCTTGGAATATTTGTCAGGCTTTTGAAATTTTCAAGTATCGGAATATAACGCGAAATGTCGTGAATTTTCGGTATTCGGCTGTACTTCAGGAATTGAGAATTCTGGTTTGAAAAAAGTCTTTATCAGACTAATCCACACGTAGAAAGTGCACTCTGCCACTATGGCCACCCAACTGGCCTGAAGATTCACCGAAAATTTGGTCATGGCACATAGAAACCCGCCGTCTTTCTTCGATGTTCCCAAAAGGGAACGTTCGCCTGATCCGAGACCAATGTATACCTCATTTCACCTGATTTTAGGAAACAGTGTATCTAGCGCATATACCTTGTTTGTAACATCCGTAAACGTGGATATATAACTGATGGAGCCTTTTTGATGTTTTGTTGGTGATAGGACCGTCTCCATGGTAACCGAATTTGGTCATAGTATTTGTGATTCACTAGGATGCGGAATACAGCAACGCTTTGCGAGCCTGACATTTGCCAAAGTAAAGATTGCTAAACAATCTCCAAAAGGATATACTTCTGAAGTAGGTTTTCTTTTGTGTAACAAGATTCACTTGAACAATATTCAGCAAAGTAAGGATGCTTTACGCCGTTCTCCTGGACTTTCGATGATTTTTTCCTCCGCGCGGTTGATTTTTTGTCAGAAAGCTGTAAAGTGGTATGGCAGAGGGAAATGTTCACAGTAGCAGTCCTTTCTGGAAAGGGACTCAAAAGTGATTCCAATGGAAGATAAGGACATTGTCGAGAACTCCAACACACTTCAGGACTTAGTCATAGCGCCACCAATTACTGGCAATCTGAACGTAAGCGCTATAGGGGTAAGGCATCCTGCAGCTTCAGAACTCGAAAAGAAGTGGTGAGCACACTTGGTCCTTCCCTGAGCACTGCAAATTCGCAACTCAGTTCACTGCATAGTGCTAATGATTCAGTGATTCTGATGCAGTGAATTTGCTGTGCCCAGGGAAAGAGCATGTGTGCTCACCACTTCTCGTTTATCTGAACGTGGACGATGAAATAGAGTAGTAATCAGATGATTCAACGGATGATAAGGGTTTCATCGAACTTGCAAGAGATATGGAACTAGACAACTACCAGGTGACGAATTGGAGAGAATGATGTTGGTGCCTGTCCTGTTGATAGTGAGTACGACGGCCAAAAAACGCCAACCCGCTGGAGTAACGCGTTGGGTGAAATAGACTGGTGTTTACAATAGGCGTCCTGAAATGGAACTAGACAAATCCCTTCACGATCACCACGAGATCACTACAGCATCACCCACTTGCCAATCGCGAGATACACACACCCTGTACATCTCTAAACAATATTAGACACGTAAGTACTGCGCGATACCCGCGATACGGACAAGGCCAACATTAGCTCGGAGACTGACAATCTTGAGAGAATCATTGTAATCCTTTTTTTCTGGCTCAACATTCTTACAACTGATCTGAGAATGCCAATTTTTCAAGCAGCCATGAGCCCCAAGCCGATGTCCTACATCCAATTTCATCCCGAGATCGTCGTCCTATTTTATTATAGCCGATCTCGCCCAGAACCACCAGTGTCTTTCTATTGATGTGCAATTATATGGGCGTTTGACAACACAGAATGTGGACAACACAATGTCGTTGTAAATGGTGCAGACAAACCACGAAATGTTACTATTCTAAGTGTGGAGTTCGACTGCATTTCGAACGTGGATCGAATGCCACGGTGTATACGAGACGCTATTGGTAGCAGACGAAAACACTAATAAGCATTGCTGGACACTCCTTGACGACTATTACATATTTTTTTCTTCTCCATTGCTGCTTGTTAATGTTTGCATCACAAACACTTTGAAGACAACATAATTCGTTATATCATATTGCATCTTCCCTTCATAAAAACAAGGGGCATTTTGGTACGCGATCCGGCCAACGTTCCCTTTTGGGAACACATAAATATTTCCATAACGCATCGAGATATTCAGTTCAAACTTATAAACATGTTTAATTGGTCCAATACAAGCCAAAACAAAAGAAAAAAACTGCAAGAATACGCTGAATTCTTGTGACGGCCAAATTGCCACTAAGAACAGGATTTTTTTACCGCTCTGTGAAATTTCCAACAGGCATAGTGAGGAAGCACGATACATGAATACTCTCCGCCACAAGAAAAAATTTCAGCAATGGAATCAAGTGAAGCGTGTCAAAGAAAGGAAGCAAGTTAAGCAAAATGCACGAAATAAATCAGCGAAGGAGTGCGTTCTTGCATTCTCACTAGTAATACAGCTCCAGAGTTCTTTCAACTCTGCATCTCTCGCAGCGCCGTTACATGAGCTGACATTTTCTGGTGTCTAGCTGCTAGCTGGCGTAGACTGGTAGAGTATCTCTCTCAGCCTATCGTATGGCAGCAATGGGAAAGAAACAGTTGTGGCTGTCATTTCGGTGCTTGAAGGAACCGTGGGCAGTGTGACCTGTGTGTCACCACAGTGTGTTTCAACAAAGCCTTCGAATGAGGCGTACAGGCCTCTCCAGACAGCTGTCATATGCTCCGCTGGATACGCTGGCCACGAGTCTTGTAATGCGGCTGCTAGGTCCACCAAGGGAACAACCAACACGTCGGCCGGTTGCATCGCATCAAAACACACCTTTCTTCTTCAGCATAACGCTCATACTCCTCTTCCATGCACGCGTGCCTGTCACGCTCTCCAGGCCAGGATATCAGTTGCCCCTGCTACAGTTCCGGTTTTCGGGTCGCTGCGCTTGCCTTTTTGGCAACAAAGACAGTGAATGGCCAGATTCCCACATCCCAAAAAGTTGAATACATCGCGATTCAAAGCGCTACAATCGCGAACATTTTTTCTTTGGTGCCTCCTTTGATCTTGCCATCACGATCTCCCAAGCAAAAGTAAGTTGGATATAGTGATTGGACTGGGTTTTACCCGTCAAAAAGTCCGTGCGGGATAAGCGACAATTGCGATGAGCCGGACCAAGTATGTTTATGTGTATGTGTATGTGTGTGAGTGTGTGTGTGTGTGTTTGAGTGTGTGTGTGAGTGTGTGTAAGTGTATGTGTATGTTTGTCTGTGTGTAGTCCTAGCACCAGTTGCTATGTCTAACGTAGCTGTTTGCTATCATTGCTTCTGCGATGGGCAGGTCTGAGATCTGAGGCCTGTGTGTGTGTGTGTGTGTGTGTGTGTTTGTGTTTACGTGTGTGTTTTTGGATGTGTGCGTGCACGTGGATGTGTGTGTGTGTGTGTGTGTGTGTGTGTGTGTGTGTGTGTGTGTGTGTGTGTGTGTGTGTGTGTGTGTGTGTGTGTGTGTGTGTGTGTGTGTGTGTGTGTGCATCAACATGTGTATGTATGTGGGTATGTGTGTACATGTCTTGTCTTTAATTTTGCTGCTACTTCCAGGGTGGTAACACACCATTACATGTTGCAGCCTATACTGGTCATGTTTCTGTAGTAGAATGTCTTCTCACTTCTGGACATTCGCTGGAACTAAAGAATAATGTAAGTCATTATTATTATCCGTGATGCATTCTTGTTTGTATATGAGTAGAAAGAAGAATTACGCAGGTGAATAAATTCAGTGGGTATTGACAATGCCTGTGGGTCTGTTTTACGCTTGAAATTCACAATTGGCAATTTTGTTATGTCCACGAAAAAGTTTCGTGCGATTCAAATATGCTATAATACTAAGTGGTAGCACAAGGTTCAGGGTGTTCATCATCATTATGAAAATTTATGTTTTTTACGAGTAAACTTCCGTGCTTTCTCTTTATAAATGTGACGTTTCTTCTCCCGTACATTGTCTCCTTCCTCATCAGCAAGGGGATATAGCGGCACGAGCAAACGAGAGCAAGAACAATGAATTATGGATATGCATGATGTATATTGGTCATGCATTTATCAACGTTGTTTTTAGCTATTCTACTTTGACCCGGTTTTATCAACTCATTGCTCTTGCTTGTATATCACCTGAGGAAAAGGTACGGAAGTTTACTCGCAAAACCATTAGATTATTATGAATGTTGTTGAAGAGCCTAAGGGTTGTCCTATCAACATAACGAGCAGTTGTCCTTTGCTTTATCAGCCTGGAAAAAAATTAATGAGTTACTTGCGTCACATCAAACGTGCTCGTAAGTCCAATTTTTTGAAGAGATCTGGTACTTCCTCCGTTAACAAAAACTTCGTGATGGATTTTGATGGATATGAAAACGCTTAGAACAGGTCAAGAACAGTTTGTATCGACTGCAAATCACTGGACGAAGGTGATTCAGCCTATGTACAGCGTCTTTACAAGAGAAACTGTTGGCGGAAGGAGCAGAGAGTTCAGTTTGCATCGTTTTCGCTTGACTCATTTTTGACCCTGCGTCGCTGTCGTCATCTGCTGCACGTGAGTCGTCATCTGCTGCACGTGAGTCGTCATCTCTCTCGAATCACTGTTCAGCTCGTTTCAGCCTTGGCTCGGCTTCTTTGATCACACTCTGCTGACCTTGATGTCGCCATCGTTCAAGTAAGTAGTTGGCTTTCAAGCTGCGTGATCCGCCGCGATGGCGATTCCTCGTTTCCACCAGGGGGTCGTAAAAATAGTTTACGACTCCCTGGTTTCATCTTCGCTCTCCAGAACTCCGCGAAACGAGGAGTAAAGGCACAGCCAAACTGATTCCATTTTCTCTGATGAATACACCTGCCAGCACTGAACGGCAGCGGCTAGCAAGTCCAGTCGACTTTCCTTAGCCACGAGACTTGCATCGGACTGCAGACTTCTGAAAGAATACATGGTCATCAGCATTCGAATCTTGGCTTTGCGCAGGTTTCACAAGAACTTGAGCTCAGAATTATTTTCATTGAGCCGTGCGATCGGACCAGCTCCTTGTTCACTCGCTCATTGTGTGGACTCGCTGTTCCGTTTGATCGCTCTTTATCACTCTCCAACTTACTCAGTGCTAGAGTAGTAGAGAGGCTTAGCAACGCAATATCCCCTCGGAGAAGTGGTATTTCAGTTTCGCTCGCCATAACTGTCATCACCTATGTTTCCACAGCGCAACCATCGATTCCGCTCGGCTCGGTCGCTTTCCTTGAATCGTACCTCTTTCATGGCCCGCCAGGGAAGGCCAAGAAAGTGACTGCGACTCATTTCACGGCAGTTTGTGCGCAAACCAGCCCCTCAAAAATCCATCACGAAGTTTTTTGTTAACGGAGGCAGTATATGGTTCCACGTTGGCACTTTGAGGACCGCAGCATCTCGGCTTTATCCGGAAACCCTCTTGAGTGCTGGACTCCAGGTGCCAATGTGTGATCTACAAGCACCCCCCCCCCCCCCCCCCGGTCCTGGAGAATGGCATGGTCGTGTGAATGAGCCCTGCACAAACCACTCTGGCTCAACTCATCCAATGGGGTGGCCATCGCCTAATCGGTGAGGGAACCTACTTTTGCCACCTGTGTAATATGCATTGTCGAGATGCACATCACCTTCTACAGAGGATTTTGCCACCCCAGCAACCCCAACACCAGCTGGCGAGTGGATACAGGTTTTGGCGCTCCGGAATCATTCAATCCTGTGTGTATGTACACCTGTTAGAAATGACTCGAGTATGTTCTATACAGCCGAGTGGCAGCCTTCCCAGGACCATGCCTTTTTTATTAGACTGTTGCTTTCCTCTGGTCTCAAACCAGATGAAATAAAACAAATTGACCTGAGCCCAAGGCACCTCATCACTCACCTGACACTGACAAAGATGGATTCACCATGGCATCAGGGAAGAATACATTCCCAGCAACTCCCCGGGCTGCCAAACTCGCCAATGTTTTCTCCACTGCAGCTGAACGTGACGAAGTTTCAGGTGCTGAAGATACGGATAACAGTGGCGCACAGGTCACAATCAATGGAATAACATTTGAGTGCTAACTTGACAACAGCACCATCTTCCGGCAACCTCTGCTCCTCTTACCCTAGTTCCTCTAAATCCGAACGCTAAAGCATTCCAAGTCCAACCCACTGTTACAAGAACAGTGCTTGGAACATCGGAGCAAATATGACCATTGCATTCCTCAACATTAATTTTGTAGTCTATGCTACAAAATGCATGAACTGTCGGACCTGGTGCATTCGATGGACTGGGGCATTGTCGGTGTGGCCGAGACTTGGTTCACCAACACAGTAGCTAACAATGAGATCGATATATCTGGATAAAGCCTTGCCAGGCTGGATCGAGCCGGCCGTCCTGGTGGAGGTGTGTGCCTGTATTACAGGGCTACTCTTCCTGTCACCATACAGCCAGATCTGAAGATCTGAAGGTGGATGGTATTGAAGGCGTGTGGATCAGTCTGCCCCACTCCAGACAGAGGCACCTTTTTGCGGGTATTACCCCCCCCCCCCCTGCTGAATCAATTCATTACCAGGACAGATTTGAGCAGGCTCTTCACCGGGCTTCAGTTGTATCACCATCTGTCACCCTGTTCGGTGACTTCAACATTAATGTTAGCTCAGCTGCAACACCCCAGCTCCACCATTTCAATGTTGGAATTCACTGTCTCGGTTTGATAAATCTAGACTCTTTCCCAACCCGAATACTAGTAACCCCAAGATGTCCAGCCAGCACGACACTGGACCTGATCCTCACCAGTAGCCCTGCTACAGTCTCCTGCAATATCATACCCTGTACTCTGAGTGATCATTCGGCCGTACATGCTAGACTGGACCTCGCGCTACTGTCTGCTAAGCATCAACACTCCTCTCATCGCCAGGGAGCAAGTTTAATGGGGTACTAGCTGTGCTAGTACTTGTTAGCAACAATCCGAACTAGCGCACACACTGCACTGCATTGCTCTGTACTGCATTCAAGACTGACGTCATGCGCTTTGTTTTGCTGCGTAATCACAAATGGCACCAGCCCATTTTGCTCAAAAGAAAAACAAATCTTGCTTGCCCCTGTTGTGCTCTTCCAGACAACGGATCGTTCTTCAGTAGTATTTC